CATGTTCCATTTGGGAGAGAGCTCCAAGTAGTTCTGATCTTTTTTCTTCTCTTATGAGCCTACCTCTTTTTTCATCCTCTGTTCCAAAGAATTATTACTCTAGCCAGGCGTGGTGGCGCAAGCCTGTAATCTTAGCACTCAGGAGGCTGAGGCAAGAGGATTGCTGTGCTTTCAGGGCCCACCTGGGCTACATAGTGAGCTCAAGGCCAGACCAAACTGCATAGTGAAACCCTGTCTCAAAAAGGAAAAAAAAAAAGTATTATTACTCTAAATCAGTGGTGGTGAAACTATGGCACATGTGCCATAATGGGCTGTTTGTCTTTTTAAATTTTATTTTATTATTTATTTTAAAGAGAATAGTAAAAAAAAAAGAACAATAGCAACATACCAATATCACTGATATAAACAAAACAAAGCAAGAACATTAAAAGTGATACAGGGTTTCAAAACAAAATGATAGGAATTAACAGTGGTTGTTATATTTTTTTTTTTTTTTTTTTTTTTATCTTTTTTAGACAGGGTCTTGCTATGTAGTTCAGGCTGGTTTTGAGCTGACTTTGTAGCCCAGGCTGGTCTCAAACTTGCAGCAATCCTCCTGCCTCAGCCTCCTGAGTGCTGGGATTACAGGCAGGCTCTACCATGCCCAGCTATTATATTACATAGTTATCTTCAACTACATTGCTCAGATTACCAGATATAAGAATGGAAGATTGTTCAAACCATTAAAGAGAATAAAAAATAATTATTAAATAAAACTTTAGAGATGATACAGAGTTTCACTGGACAAGATGGTAGGAATTCACCAATGGTTGTTCCATTGCATAGTTGTCTTCAAATTAGTTGCTTAGATTACCAGATATAAGCATGCAAAATTGGTCAAAATATAAAAAAAATTAAGCATTAACTGTTCCTTTCAATAGACCATCAGACAGCAGTACAGTTATCTCAGCTATTCGTATATATTTTGCCTTCCTTTCTTTTTTCTTCTTTCCTTCATCCCAGTTGTACCTTCCTTTGAGCAATTTCTTTCTCTTTGCTATCTATTCTATGTTCTGAGTTTTACTTACTCTTTCAGGTTCCTACACCCAGGAGACAATATGATGTTTACACATGAGGGTATTTCACTTATGAGTATGGTCTCTAGTTGCATCCATTTGCCTACAAAAGTCTTGAGTTTATCTTTTTTATAGCTGAGTAATACTCCATTGTATAGAAATACCACATCTTTTTTATCCATACTTCAGTGGATGGGCTTTTGGGTGGTTTCCAAGATTCAGCTATAACAGATTATGCTGCTTTAAACATGGGTGCACATATATCATTGTGGTATGATGTTTTTAATTCTTCTGGGAAAATACCCAGAAGGGGAATAGCTGGGTTAAGTGGGGCTTCTAATCCTAATTTTGTGAGGAGTCTCCAAACTGATTTCCACAGTGGTTTCACTAATCTACACTCCCACCAACAGTGGAGTAGAGTTCCTTTTTCCCCATGGCCTCTCCAGCATTTGTTATTGGTTGATTTCTTACTGCTAGCCATTCTTTCTGGGGTAAGGTGGAATCTCAGTGTTGTTTTAATTTGCATTTCTCGAATGACTAATGATGTTGAACATTTTTTCATATATTTATTTGCCATTAGTGTTTCTTCATCTGAGAGATGTGTATTCGTCTCAGATACCCGTAATGGGCTGTTTGTATCATGGAAAGCTCTAAAAGGTTCTCCATCACTGCTTTAAATGTACTAATGTTCATATTTAGGACTATAGGTACAAACAATTCTTGCCTGATAGCCTAGGAAAACCTCTTCAAGAATACATGGTTAAAAGAAGGATCAAAATTTTAATTCACTCTTACACTGGAATGTGAGTTACTGGAATTGAATGCTCTTGATTATTATCTGAAAATGCCATCTTCACATAATCCTTTTCTACAAGCTACTGTATAATCACATTCAAAGGGACAGTCTTGGTGTTAATTATAGGTAATTGCTGAATATAGGTGAAAAGCCTTGCTTTTAGGTTATCATCTCCCAAGAAGTTATTCTGCCTACAGATAGTCATTTTAGCCTCACAGTCTTCTTTGGTGTTTTCATTTTACACCCCCCCTTTTTTTTTTTTGCTACCAGGAATTGAGCTCAGGGCCTTGTGCTTGCCAGGCAGGCGCTTATGCCACTGAGCTATATCCCTGGCCCCCTTTTTTGTTTTTAATATGTTAAAAAGTAACATAATGTAAAGGCTGTGATTAGTATTTAAAAAATCCAAATTTTGAAGGAATGAATTTTATAAAGAATTCTGTAATGAACGGGATGCAATATCTTGATACATAATAATTTTAAGATTTAAAAATTTTAGAAGCAGAAAATCTTAACTTTAAATTCTTCTAATGTTCAAAACAAAAATCATCTTGTAAATCTCCCTAATAAAATGTGTCCTTGGTACACATGTCTTGGGCACTTTGAAAATGTTAAAATTTCTAAAGTTTGAGGAAGAGAGGCAGCACATAAAGACTTCATGAATCTTTTTTCCCAAAAAGAATACTTCCAGTAAAACATTTTATCATTTTATCTGAGTATGCATTGATATTTTTGTTTTTCCATGAAAAAGGGAATTTACATTAATTCTGTAGTTTTTCATGTAAAAATGTACACATACAGAAATTTAACTTCTTGAGTGACCAGTCAAACATGATTTAATGAAAAATTTTAGGATGAAATAGTCTGTGTAGGGCTGGGGATTTAGCTCAGTGGCACAGCGCCTGCCTGGCAAGCATGAGGTCGTGAGTTCAATTCCTGGTACCAGAAAAAAAACCAAAAAAAAAAAAAAAAGTGTATGTAGATTTATATTTGTGTAGGATAAAGCTACAAAGAACATGTTACAGAATTTTACTTAAATTCTCTGTTAAGCAAAATGATTTACCCCAAACAACCAGTAACTTTCTGAAATTATTAATAAAACAAATCATTTAACAAAATAGTCATTTCAGACTATCAACTTAGATTTTCTATTATACACACCAAAATTGCATTCTCTTAACATGAAATTTTTTTTGCAGTGCAAAAGGATAACAGATACTTAAAATATTTGCTTTAAAATACAACCTATTGGGCTGGGGTTATAGCTCAGTGGCACATGCACCTGCCTGGCAAGCACAAGGTCCTGAGTTCGATTCCTGGTACCAAATAAATAAGTAAATAAATAAATAAAATACAACCTGTGAGGTCTGATCAAAGTATAAAAGAATATTTAAATTTTAAAAATGTGTTACAGTAAAAGATATATAGCAATGTGTCTTTTACTATATTTTTTTTCAAAATTTAAAATTCACAAATTTTTTTAGTCACATTTGACATATAAGCCATCCTTCTGAAGCTGTCTAAATGATTAGGTACCATGAAACTTTCTTTTTCTAAAACTCTTTTAAAACCCTCAGGTGAAAGGTTTATTTATGAAATAAAACAGTGCTGGGTGTGGTGGCACATGCCTGTAATCCCAGCACTTGGGAGGCTGAGGCAGGAGGATCGCTGTGAGTTTGAGGCTAGCCCGTGTTACACAGTGAGTTCAGGGCCAGCCTAAACGGCATAGTAAAACCCTGTCTCAAAAAGACAACAAAACAAAACAAAACAAAGAACTGGAACTACAGTTCTTCTCATTTTTTTGTCACTTTTATTTAATTTATTGGTACATTTTAGATATATATAATGATACATTCATCATAGGGAATTTGTACCTGTACATGATGTATCTTCTTTTTTTCCCATTCCCCTCCTCTCCCTATTCTTCTCATTTCTGTATTAAACTGTAGCTGTAGGGTTTTTTAAAATGTGGCATCTTGAAAGCTGCTCCTTAGAGATTTTCAAAATATTTCCAGCTTAACTTAGTCAAAAGAGCCTAAAATGACCCTTTAAACAATGTCCTTTTAATACTTTTAAAACTTGCTAGTGTCAAGATGAGTGCCTTTTCCACCCCTGCCACTGTCTCTTCTGTTATAGTTATGACTCCAGCCTTCAGGGTCCCTATCTTTACAGAAGAAATCCTTTCTGCTTCTTCCTTAATGGTGATCAGACCTATGATCAGTGTAACACTGTTCTTGGCTATAATGTCTGTCTGCTGGTAGGGATGAGAATTCTGATTTTACACTGTGATGGTGATGTATCCTGGCACCATTGGGAGCTTGAAGACTGGTTAAAAGTATGATTATGTAACTGAAGTGATGGTGAAGATCCTGACTGATCCACATGGAAACAAATTTCCCACCATATGGCATCTGTCTCAAAACATTGTTCATCCCTGCTTGTCTCTGATAATATTCTAGAGAAAAATATGACCTCTGAAATTATCTGTGATGATGGTGTCATGTGTTCCACAGTCCTTTTCTGTCTGCAGCTGGGAAATGTGGAGGTAGAGCTTGAATTTCCAGCACAATGCTGGGGCTATGATAAACTGACATCTTATGATGCATGACTAGTGCTTGATCTAAAACTGAATTTTGATGTGCCTTCCAAAAAGTTGGAATCTATTAAGTAGATTCATTGCATAAGGAACAGATACTTAATGTTTAAAATTCACAAACACAAATTGCTTCAGTTACCATCTTTATCTTTTGGAATTTTCACCCTTATTACCGGCCCAGTCTGGTGGAATAGCATAGAAGGCAGCTCTTCTGTCACTTTAGTTTCAAGGTTGCCTACAAAGAGTTTGGTCAGTTTCTGTTGCCACCACTCTCATCTCAACATCGCCCACTCCAGACCCAGGCCTACGCACCCTGTTTCCATTTTTTAAAACTGAATTACATTAGTAGGATCTCTTTTTAAATGTTAGGTATTTATAAGCAGTGTTTTCAGATTATCATTTGATGTCTTTTTAAGGTGCCAGGGATTAAACCCACGTCCTTGTGCATGCTAGGCAAGCAGTCTGCTGTTTATCTATACAGCTAGCCCTGATTTTTAAAGTGAACTCCATTTACTTGTCTTATTTGTCATATTTCCTTGTATTCTGTTTTTTACAGTTGCTTCTGTAAGAAGCATTTGTGGTGGCTTGGTCCTCAAGAAGTTCCTAAAAGGTAAGGAATTAGCCAACTTCTATGAGACTAAAACTCTTCCTGGCAATGAATTTGGTATTTTCTGAAATAGACTTATACTGAAAGATATAGCTGACAGACTTAATAAAAATACAGGATGCCTAAGTAAATTTGAATCTGAGATAAACGATAATTTTTTAGTGCAAGTATGTCTCATGAAATACTTTATCCTGCATTTAATCTGGCAACTCTACTGAAGGATGATCTATAAAAATCTGTAGAAGTAGGAATAGGCAAGATAGGGGCTGGGGATTTAGCTCAGTGGCATAGCACCTGCCTGGCAAACGTGAGGTCGTGAGTTTGATTCCTGGTACCAGAAACAAAACAAAACAAAACAAAAAAGGAATAGGCAAGATACCTATGCCACTGTAAATTCTCTGAATATAACCTCAGGCAAAAAGCTTCCCAGCTATAAAATAAAAATTTTAGTAAAATATTTGTTTACATCTACTTCAAAGAAAGAACATGTGACAAATGCTTTCAGTAGAAATAATTTTGACTAGCAGCAATACTGTTTTCTACATAATCTGCCAAAGTTGGTATGGTATGGTTTAGGAGCTTTTGGTATGAAGTATTGCTTCTTATCTTTGGTTTAAGAATAATCTACAAGCCCAAAGGACATAACACTTATTTTAAGTGTTGTGCTTGAGAATCATTGTGCTTTCATTTTTATCTTTTGTGATTGTTTGGTTCGTAAGTATCCAGTGTACCTATCTTTTCCTAATGAGTTAATTTACAGATTTTATAAGATAAATTTGGATTATACAGCTTTTTGTTGCTGGAATAAAATACCCAACATATACAATTAGAAGCAAAAGGGTTTAAGTTCATAGCTTTAGAGTTTTCAGTCTGTGGAAGAGCTGCTAACTATATGGCAGCAGAACATGGGAAAAACTAGAGAGGAAGGAGCCAAGCACCAGATATAGTCCTCAAGGTCACACCCCCATGACTCACCCAGGTACACCCAGAAATGTGCTTTACTTTGAGGTGTCTCTCAAGCCAATAAAGTTGACAACCAATGTTAATCATCACAAAATTAAAGAAAAAACTTTCCCCAACTAAGTATGGCAGTTAGATGACGACGATGACGATGATGATGACTTTGTCTTTTTGAGACAGGGTCTCACTGTACTGTTCAGGCTGGTCTTGAGCTCACTTCGTAACCCAGGCTGGTCTCAAACTTGAAATGATCCTCCCTGCTCAACCTCCCAAGTGCTGGGATTACAGGTGTGCGCCATCACACCTAGCTAGATTATTGTGTTGTTTTTTTTAAAATTTATACTAGTCCTTGCTTTGAGAGAACATGTTGTGTGTCAAAATGGAAATAACAAAAAGGCACATTAGAAAAGTATATTATAAATTTTACAATGTATTGTCATTGTGTGTGTGTGTGTGTGTGTTTTGCGGGGGAGAATGGGAGTGTTGAGCTACCTCCCCAGCTTTTTAAAATTTTATTTTGTGTAGAGTCTTGGTAAGTTTTCTGGGCTGGCCTCAAGCTTGCATTCCTATTGCCTCAGCTACCTTGACAGCTGGGATTACGGGTGTGTGCTACCCTAGCCCATTGAATTTTTTTGAGACTTTTTTCTTTTTTTATAGTATAGGCTGACCTTAAACTTTTCTATGTGGGCCAGGCTGGCCTCAAACTCATGGTAATCCTCCTGCCACAGCCTCTTGAGGGTTGGGATTATAGGCATGTGCCGCCATGCCCATCTTGCCCATTGGATTTTTTTTTCTTCTTCTTTTTTTTTTTTGAGATAGGATCTCCCTATGTAGTTCAGGCCGGCCTTGAACTCATTATGTAGCCCAGGCTGGCCTCAAACTCACAGTGATCCTCCTGCCTCAGCTGTCCGAGTGCTGAGGTTACAGTTGTCCACCACCATGCCCAGCTACCCATTGGATTTTTTAAGTGGCACATTTTCTTAGTACTTTGTAAAATTCATATCAGTTTAAAATTTTATACCCAATTTCCAGCAACTAAATTCTTGCATAAGTCAAACAGCAATGGTTTCTTTCATTTTGGTCCTGTCAAAGAAAAAGAAACTATTTTTGCAATTTAATTACAAGATGAATACTGTAAATACACAAACATGTAAGCGCTAACTCTATATTTTGAAAATGTTTCAGTGAAATTTTTTTTTTTTTTTGGTTTTTCTCCGGTACCGGGAACCGAACTCACGACCTTGCGCTTGCCAGGCAGGCGCTTTTTGCCGCTGAGCTAAATTCCCAGCCCCTCAGTGAAATAATTTTTAGTTTAATAATGGAACTTATAAGAGCTTGTTTGCTGAATGAAGGGTTATCAGGGTATATTCTTTGATTTTTTGTAGCTGTCTTGGCTCTCTGAATCTACCTTCCAGCTGCTTGTCTCTTTAGATTTTTAATAGACTTGCTCTGTGGCCCTAATTTAGGTTCCTTTCTTATATACACATTTAAAAGCAATAATTGTAGAGGAAAAGATATACAACAACAAAAAATTGAAACTTTTGTTCCCTGCTACTGAGCAGATATTTTATGAGAATTTAGGTAGAATGTTCTCCCTTTACTAATAATCACAATGAAGATTTGTTGAAGATTTACTTTGTGTTAGGCGTATGCTCAATACAGAGGAATTACAGTAGAGAACAAGAAAGATTTGATTTTTTTATTCTCATACTTAAGATATCTTAATTAGCCGGGCGTGGTGGCGCACACCTGTAATCCCAGCACTTGGGAGGCTGAGGCAGGAGAATCGTTGCAAGTGGAGACTAGCCTGGGCTACAAAGTGAGCTCAAGGCTAGTCTGAACTGCACATCGAGACCCTGTCTCAAAAAGACCAAAGAAAAAGATATCTTAATTCTTCTGTTGCCTCCTTAAGCATATGTCCAGAGCAAGGGAGAATCAGTTTATTGTTCTGGGGAGTTGCTCTGATTCTGAGGCTTTGGAGAGATCTGAATCTAAATTCAAGAACATGGTTTAACTGCCTCACAGTCATCTAACTTATTTATCAATTTTTAGTTGCTCTACTCTTTTGTATTATGCCCTTAGGACGATGCAAAGAATGGAATGATCATTCATAATGTTACTGCTCCAATTAGTATCTTTTTTTTTTTTTTTTTTGGTATCAGGAATCGAACTCAGGACCTTGTGCTTGCCAGGCAGGCACTTGTGCCACTAAGCTATATCCCCAGCTACTACTCCAATTAATATGTGTGAAAGTAGTGAGAATCCATATAAATAAAAGGGAGCAGGCTGGATGTGGTGGTGCATGCCTGTAATCCCAGTACTCCAGAGGTTGAGGCAGGAGAATCTCAAGCCAGAGCCCAACCTGGGTAATTTACAGAAACCCTATCTCAAAAAAAAGGGGTGGGGGAGCATATTCTTAGCATTAGGGAGGTGACAGAAATATTTCCTGCCATGTAAATCTGTACTTAATGTGCTTGTACCAGGAGTGGTCAGATTATATAGAAGGGTGCTTCAATTAATATTTGTGAAAGTAGTTTGAAAAAAAAATGAAATGGCTATAAGAACAAGGTAATGGTATTATTATCATTATTACTACTAGGAAGGAGGAGTTGAGTATAATTTACAGGATAACCACTTATTGTTATGTTAATACACATTTTAAATGATTTGTGTCCTGGTGACTTCATTTTAATTTAACTGTTATTTTAAAAGCTCAAAGCAATTTTATTTTATCTACTTTTATATTCTTGTGATAAAGAGAGGGTGGCTCTTTGTGCAAATATGAAGTCTTGTACACCAAGTTCACCATACAAATTGAGTCATTTGTTCATGGTCAGTTGCATTTATAGACAACTGCAACCTAAGTTTTTTTTCCAGCTGTTAGGGCTCATAATATTAACCTCTACTCTACTATAATGATATTCATTCATACTAATCAGTATGAATTAGTGAAGCTAACAAAGGAAATGGGCCAACACTGAGACTTAAATCCTTTGGCTTGTTGGCTTTTGCACCATTAGTTATGCCTTTATTAGTATTATTATTTATTTAATATTTCCATAATAGTTTAACAAACTGCTCTAAATGGATACATTCACTAATATTTACACTATTTAGTTAGCTTCACCAGGGAGTTTTTGGCAGCTGATTCATTAATCATCAAGTTTCTGGACGCTAAAGAATTATGTAGTGTATCTATACAAAATTAATAGTATACCTCTGAATTCAGTTTAACTATATTGTGGTCTTCATTGCTCAGTTGATTTCTCTGAGTGCCTAAAATAAGGTCACCTCTCTTTAGGTGAATTGGAATGTTGTAGAGCCATCCAAATTCAGTTCTCTTTACTTTTCAGTCTGTTCTACCAGGGTTTTATTGAGGTACTTTTTGTCTGGGTCTGCAACAATACAGATACTTCACTGTGCAAAATAAGTACATATTTTGGTTATTATAATTATGCTGTGTAATAAATAATGACCAAAGCAATCTGCCTATTCTCTTCATTTATGTTCTCTTTTTTCCCCTTTCTTCTCTGGCCCCAAATAAATACTTTTATTTGGTAAACTTTTATTGACTATCTGCCTTGGCACAAGGGAAATGGAGTGTATTAGGTCTATAATGGAAGTATGTTTATTGTGGAAGTATAACGGAAGTATGTACCATGCTTTTTTGGTTACCCAGAGGATATTCCCTAAAGTTCAGTTACCAGTATGCCTTTTTCCTTTAGTTATTTTTGTTTTGTTTTGTTTTTTCTGGTACCAGGAATTGAACTCGCAATCTTGCGCTTGCCAGGCAGGTACTGTGCTGCTGAGCTAAATCCCCAGCCCCTTCCTTTAGTTATTTTCGTCATCATTTAGTGTTAAATTCAGATAGCTTTTAAACTGTTTTCTTTTTATTTTATGAAAAATGAAACCAATTTTCATAACCAAATAATAAGAGAATAACAATAGTTGCTACATTGTGTATCATTATCTTCAAACTAGTTACTTAGTACAAGATGTAAGCCAAAAAGATTCTTACAAAAATTCTTACAAAAGATTCTTAC